CAACCTGAAGGAGGATCGAGGGCTCCAAATGGAAGCCGATGAACTGGAATGGACAGCTTGGTTGGACATGGGCTTGTCGACAGGAGAGGAGTGACGCTCTGAGTTCACATGTGAGTTGAAAGTAGAAGGTAAATGCCTAGCAACGCATGTTGGGGGAGGGCCAAGAATCGGGGGCTTGAAAACTGGGGGGATATAAGTGAAGTTGGAACGGGTCGGTAAGAGTGAAAAAGCGCAAGAGGGGGAATAAGAAGACGGGAAGGCTTGAGCAGTAGCATCCAAACCCCTGTCCACCCTGCTCGATGCAGCAGATAGGGCACCGTTGATTATCCTCTGCGGTGGCCAGAGCATCAAGAAATTGTTTGAGGTAAGATTCATTGTATTGCGTGGGCAGGATACTGTCAGGTTGCCCAGGCCTAGATAGGAGAACGATTAGGGTTCTCAACCAAAGGCTTTGGTTCAAAAACCTGTCCGCAAGGCAGCGGGTTTGGCATTGGGCTACAAGGAGTCCGTTTTAAGGAATAAGGTGCCACCCTCATTCCAACCCCCAAACTGGAGGACCAGGAGGCTGAGTTTGTCTGGCCTCTAACCATTGACCAATCTGGTATGAGTGACTCTGAAGGTGCAAAAGCACCACCCAGCATAGCTCAATGGATCGCTGAAGCACACAAACCATCGCACCACGGTAAGGTCCAGCCTCATTGGAGTACAGGTCAATGACTAAGTGACAGACTGGTTCTCATCGACCAGTGGCGTGCCTTAAGGAACTATACTTTGGCCAGTATTATTTCTTATTCATAGTAACGACCTCGCACAGCAGCTCCAGTCACCATGTGCTCAGTTTGCAGAGGATTTGAAAATTTGGATCACTGAGAGCCAGGTCGACTGTTCTCGCCAACCGCATGACTTAGGTCGACTGTCAAGGTGTTCCAATGAAATGCAACTCCGTCTTAACACAAGCAAGTCTGAGTTCATCAGTATCACCAGATGTGCAGCCACTCGATCATACACCTTGGAGGGCCAGTTGCTCCACCCCAAAACATCTGACAGACCTAGGAGTACTCTCGCGACATGATATCAGTAGAAAATACACAGGCATTGTACAGTGCGGGACTTCGTATGCGCCGGGCATTACGACGCAGTTTCTCCAAATGGTTCGAAGAAACTGTCCATCGTCTATTCGCCCCCACTCATCAGACTAATCGTTGAAGACGGCGCCCCAGCTTACCAATCAATAACCCAATGGGAAACTGAAAAGTTGGAGAAAATACAGCATATCGCAACTAGAATGATACAGTCTACAAAAGCTTCCGTATGAAAAATGTTGTGAAAGGTTCGGACTCTACACACTATCCTACCGCCGAGTATGAATTGACCTAACTATGACCCATCGAGTACTACTCTTAAATCACTTCCCCATACTGCGGTCAATATTTCACCTGCGGGTACCCTGTAACACCCGAGGACCTCGTTACAAACTCTGGGTCCCCTGCATGACCAAAGTACCACATCAGGTTTTTATAGAACGAAGAATAGTAAAGTTGTGGAATACACCACTAGAAAGACTAATAGAGATCGATTCTGCGAGGTGTTTCAAAACACGTCTCGAGGATTATTTCGGAAAGCTGTGCTTTTGTGATACGGTGCACATACAATGCAAAAATACATCCTATACGCAGAACTAATGACACCAATACGAATTCCTAGCCGAACAAGGAGAAATGATTAAGTGACCAAAGACTACCGCTGACGGTTCGCAATTAAATGTTTTTGATTTTCATAATTCGATAGAATTTTACAGAAAATTTTCTACTTGCTGTTAAACACAGTCTCAGACAGCTGAGTCGCTGTTTAGGAGTTTCAAGACGGAAAATCAACTTTTTGGTGGATGGATGGATAGCACCAAACATTTGCACGATTAAATGAAAAACACGTACGCCGGAGACCAGAGTAGAAGAAAACGATAGGTCTTCTTCAGGGGTGAAATAACTCCAGCAGTTGGACTAGTATGTGAAGAATACAGCCGGTGTCGACGCATGATTCAATTTACCTCAAATGCTATTCCGGTTTTTTGAGGTGTGTGGAAGGATTATATGAAAGTATAAAAGGGTTAATATCGCGACGACTGTACAAAATTCAATAAAATCCTTAAAAAATGAGGATGGACGATTATCACCGGCAGGATACCTCTTCTGCAGTAGTTCAAACAGTGTCGAATAGAAAGGCCAAGGCAAAACTAAGCGAGGCGTTGCAGTTGTTTGGCAACCAGTGGGAAAGGCGTTAGCCTCGAAGAGGTTTATCCCTGAAGATTGTATCGGAAAAATTAATTTCTATTCTAAAATCTCTAAACTGTAAATCCAGTAGCTCCAAAAAGGTCCGCAGGAAATTCTCTCCTGCGTTCACCATAGTAAGTGCAGTGCAACTAGACTGCAAAACTTCCAGTTCTTCTCAACAGCTGTTAGTATTGAATGGATGGGTTAGATGGAAACATACGTTGTGTGAATGGATCGAGGCGCGATTCGCCTTTAAGTAAAGCTTGATAAATACGATCACTTGGACCGCCACTGAGGTGCCAACTGGACATCTGATGCTGTTGAACGAAAGGACTAAGGGATTAAGGCGTTCACGGTCGATCAGAAGAGCGATCGATTGGTCAAAGGAGCTGGAACTGTCGACTATAGTGTCTCGGAAGTGAAACGTGGAAAACATCCAGAAGCTACTCTGAAATGAACCGAGGAAACGATGCTACGCAGCAGGAGCCAAAAGTTAAACCAACGTAGGGAACGATAGATCTGAGTGTCAGGTTAGAAACTGAGACAACGGGATTAAAGGCCACTGGCCCTGCCACGTCGAGTGGGTGTTGCTGGGTGAGTACAAGAGATTTGCATGAATACAAGATCCAAAAAGGCGTTGGTACCGAAATTACGGATCGCCGTTCGACGTCTACTGCAATCGAAAGTCGTTGAGAAAAGCGCATAAGCTGTGTTTAAGTAGGAGTACGTAGATGTCTAATTAGTTATGGAGATTCAGACATCGGTCCAAAAACAAGATACAAGTCGCAAATGAGTGTTTTTGGATCACGTCAGCATCACAATGACGTGTCTGCAGTCATACATATTAAAACGAACGTTAAATATTTGTATGATGATGGGTGTGGCGTACGAACGGCCATCGTGTGTATGCCCGTCTGTCCATCGATCACCCATTTACAATTACTTGATCGATGTGCTGTACACGGGTTCATGGCACAATGCACGACGCGTGGTACCAACTCGGTGCGTTCTGTTATCCTTACATCGTTTCGGCCACATGTTATTACTGCTATCGTAGGCTTGCCTTGTTAGATCCGCACGAGGAAAGTTAAATAATAGATTGGGCTATTTCGCAGATAAATATCAACCCATGATGGTTGACTTTCGTCCCTCATGGCTCGGTGGCATACGCTGCCAACTTGTGGTGCAAGCCACTGCAACCATGGATTAGGTTCCCTGAAGAGGAACAAGGGACCGCGCACAACCTTTGATTCCCGAGGAAGAGACGATCGTCTGGTACTTCGCCGGATTGGCAGTTGACTAACTGGGATGAATTAAATAAGTTCCGCTAAGTTGCTCTACTCATGAGTAGTGAAATGGAAAGTAGTCGAGCGGACATCAGCTCGATGGTAATCGCCCCACATAAAGGGGAACTCACCATGAAATAAGCTCCTGGGAAGGGCAAAATATACAACAGATATCTTACCACTTGTCGCTTATGACTCTACCAGAGAAGGTGGATAACAGGCTGATGGAACAGAGTCTGGGGATGTCTATCTATGGAGGCAAAAAGCAACGCTTAATGTACAAGGCGACATTTTTTCACAGTTAATCAGTCAGTCAGGATAAGCTTTATGTACCCAAATGGATGCATTTTCAGCGTTTCACATTATTAACTGTAAATATACGAAATGGGTACCTACAAAAATGTTAATTTAGAAATGGGCAGAAAATGAGAAAGGCACACCGTTATAACTCCATCGAGCAACGATCCCATAATGCCGAAATGGATCTTAGGGATTTGCATTCATTCAAAAAGGAAAGGGGTTCATTAAAACCTTGTCATAGTTCGTTTCAGTTGAAGTAAAACTTCGTGTGCAAAGACAATAGATCGTGAATCGTGCGCGGTCTCAGTGACCTTGGGAGTTGATTGAACAAAATAGCTGCGGCTTATTCGTGCCAAAATGATATATCTACAGTAGATGACGTAAAAAATTATGTCGGCGGAAAAAGTGATGCACGATTTAAAGGCCCCGCCAACATGCTGATGGCTTAAAGACCATGTGAAAACACGCAGGAAGACGAAACAATTCGCTCAGTGATGACAGATACGAGATTATTTCCCATTAAATTAGGCCATAATCCTGGTGTTAAAGTGCGGTCTATTACGGTCCATCCGTTGTGGACTGCGTGTTGAGATGCAGCGGATCTAGTTACGTTGTCACACGCTACGGAAACAATAATACTAACAATACTAATACTAATAATAGCTATAGCGATGTCGGCAAAGCGGAATGTGTGGGGGTTCCAATTTTCAGACCCAGTAATTAAATTAGAAACGAAAGAGAAAATGCAGAAGCGCCACTCATTGCGTCACTAAGTCACAATGCACAGGGTGCCTAACTAATGTTGCGACCGATCACAAGCAGAAATAGATAGAAAAAGCTGTGATCGGTGTCGGTGCTGTATCGTAACAAGGGCAAAGGAGTGAGGCAAGCTGAAGAACAATATCCAGTCAATTGGAAAATTATTTGTTTATGATTCAGGCAATAGAGAAACGGGGAGGGCGTGCTCCACTTAACATTACAACAGGCTGAGAGCCATCGGAATGGAATGATACTAAAAAGTAAATTCGATTAGAACACACTATCAATTAGTATTGATGATGCCTAAACTAACAAGAGCTATGACTGTTATGGCGCATGTTTATCCAAACACTAAATAAGAGACCGATCAATTCAAGTGTCCCACCTGATCTGTTCAAATCAATGAGGCTTTGACGGCGTTCCTCATCATGTAGGCTCTTTCCGGTATCCTGTTCCAGTTGCACTCTTTTGATGTGAGCACGTGATGGGACGAGAGACAGATTGACACCATTGTCCGCTAATCGCACCGCAGGGAGTTCGCCGCTATCAGGAGACCATAGATAGTCTAAATAACCTCCTTCCGCGATCGGGTGAAAATATTGCGTAATCTGGTAACCAGCGGGCGAATCGGAGTAAAAGTAGTGTTTGCGATCGAATTGTGATTGTAGGTTAATGCGTGAATTCAACGCAAACGCTATGAAGAGAGCGGCTTCTACGCATCGTCGATTAAGAAGCTGGAAGGAGAAGTGTTTGTATCACAAACAATCAAAATAGGGCACATAAAACTGCTGTAGCATGGTATTTAAGTAAAGTAACAGTTCCACAACGGCGTACCGGCAAGCTTCCAGGAATGGCTGCATCGAGTAAGGAAAGTTGGGTGTTTGGAGGAGAGCCAAAGGAGTACGGTGTTCTAGAGAACAATTTAGTACAGCTGACTAGCTGCGCATGAACCTCCAAGCCAATGAGGGGAACAAGGCGCTCGCTGGGAGGATCGACTATGTTCACGTGTGCTGCGAGGGTTCCCTGCCCACGAGCACATATACCACAGAGCCAAACACTGCTTCGATAGTAAACGAGGAGTCCTTCAAGTGGGAATTTTTGAAGTAGTCTTTGCATTCGAACTGGAAAATGAAACAAGAACAAGAAGGTCAGCAAAGCAAATTGCGCAACAGATGGAAGCACCGGAGGATAAAGCGGAAACATGTATGATACATGCGAGCAGTCGAGAGGTTAAAGGGAGTGCATAGAGAATATACGGATCAAAAGGATACCATGCCGTGGCGCGCCATTTAAGAAATGGATTTATAAACTAAGGATCCAGAGGTGTGTGCGACCTCGCAAGTCATGGATTGTCCGGTATCATCGATGAGGTATCAGGGTCAACTGATTCAGTGTTAACCACAGCTCTGCGAGGCCTCGGGAACAGATTTGGCCAGGTGGTGTACGACGGTGTTGAAAGGCAGACAAAAAAGTTGATAGTCAATGCTGCGAAATGGTTCCTGTGGATCTGGAAACGGCATTGATTAAACCTATGGAATCACACAAAGCAGTTTGGATACGAAGAAACCCCCAAGGAATATTTGTTCACGAATACAAATGCTCAGTGTGTGGTGCTTCATAATCAGAAAAATAGCCGAACGCAGAAAAGTCGGTTAGCAACCAAAGTGATACAGTTGTAGTAACAAAAAATGACAAGATTTCCACCAACGTTCGAATACAAACGAACAGTGTGGTAGATTATGACGAAAGTTACATGAAAGGATAAGGTAATTGATAATAGAAAACGAGAATAAATAGAGCAGCGCGTGTTTGTAAAAGCGTAATGTGGTCGCATTCAACGCGAAAAGCTGAGGAATAAGATGAAGGGGCGAAGAAGCTAATTCATGTAATGTAATTTTTTGCTGGTTACCTTATCGGAAATGGCGCAACCACGGACTAAATGATGACACAGTGTCCCTACGTATAAATAATCTTTTCTTCAGCAGTCTACAAATACACATAGAGCTAACAAAAAAGCATAGAAATTAAAGGAAGACAGTTGGCGTAAAAAAACCGAACATGGCTTCAGAATAATTGAGGTGTTCCTTACGAAAAGAGATGATGACTACTGATTGGAAGCAGCAAGAAGAGATATCGCTGTGTAGCTGCATCTAATATAACTCAGGTACAAAGACCCGTAATGTCGAAGTGCGCTCGATAGATTATATATCGGTAAAGTGTTTGTCCGGGAATATTTTAAATTTCCGAAACTGACTTTACCTCAAGTACGCGCTGCGGCAGGCTGTTTCATACATTCAGCGCCATCCGTTCAAAACAGAGTTGGTGGGCGACCCTCCTCAAATCCGGTACTACAAGCTTGTACCGGTGTCCTCGTGTGCTGCATGGTGTGCGCAGATGCAGCAGCGGCCTCAAGAGGGTATTCCCGGAGATGTAATATCCGGTGCGTCATGATGAAATCAACCCGCAGTCGAGGATAAGCTAGGGTGTAAAGCCCTAGTTTCTTACACCGGTCTTCGTACGACACACCGGTGTAAGAAACTATGACTTTACATCCTAGCCTATCGTTGTCTGCGGGTTGACCTCATCATGGCGCATCTCGGTGAATACCCCAAGTTGACGATGATGCAACGACTCTACCAGCATTCGTCCCCTAATTGCTAACTTTGAATAATTCTGTCTCAGGATTTTAAATCTTCACCATCTGCCTCTAAACATTATTATTATTAGTAGCAGTATTAGTATTATAGTGATTTTTGGTCATGGGCGTCAAGGCGGCTGGCTTCGTCGCACTTCAACAACATGAACAGAACAAAGGCCTAGAGAACAGCCATGTAAATAGTTCACTAACGAATCCAGTGAAACAATGGTACATTACGGGTAAAAAAGCAGGAGATTAACAAGACCCGTAGGACGGCCAGAATTGCAATCACAATTGGGGGAATCGAAAACAAAAGGAGAAAATGAAAATCGTCTTGGTGGACTCACCACAGCGTTTACGCAGAGGCATGCAGAAAGAACCAAACTCATTTGTGCAAGTTAGTGCTGGTTGTGCAACGTACCTCACATCATATCGTCTGTTGATATACACAGGCTATATCCCGTAATGGTCGGCCGGTGGCCGAGTGGTCTGCACGTTTGGCTTGCAACCACAAGCTCACCGGTTCGAATCCGCGTAGGGATGGGCGTCCTCGTCGTATACACAGCCCGCGCGGCAGCGGCGCGCCGTTATGCCGTAGAGCTGACATATTATTATTAGTAGTAGTAATATTAGTAGTATTAGTATAATATCCCGTAATGCAGGTGGATTGGGGTGATGTCAGTGCGTTTGCTTGACATAGGTAAAGTGGGGTTCGGAAATAACGTAATTTGTGAGGGCGTTCTGTGGTTAGCAGACAGGAATAGAGTAAAAGTTTCGTCGACATTCTAGCTGACTGTATTGAGTGGCCAAGTTGCGCTGGTAGTCCCTCGAATTCGTGTTGTGACGTGGTTGGGGTTTCACAAAATCTGGTATATCATTATTAGGTCGCCACATAGGCGCTGATACCGGCCACTGTACAATCTTAATCAGCTTAAGTTGATACGGAAGATGGAACAACCTTCTGACGTGCTTTTTGGCCTTTCGCTGTGGAGTCTCGAGCGCTGTGAGAGCTTGCTTGTGCCAGATCTGGATTGCGAATTTCACATGAGGCCGCACGTATGAGTTAAGCAACTGTGAACAGACAGAGATCAAACCACCTGAACGCCATCCGCAACATGCCAACGTGTTGGTTTCCAATCCTTGAAGTCCTCTCAGATCGTTATGAGCAGCCCAGATCAGCCTGGGCTCCTGGGTGACTACTTGTAGGACATGGGATCCAAGCTTGTATGTGATGTTCGGTAGGTGATAAATATAGACCATCTTACACTTAGACGAATCATGCAGAAGCAGATTTTGGAGTGACAATCTGTACGACGTATTCGGGTCTCGCTGAAATGCATCGTGATACCCTTGGTCGGCGATTGCCCGCTACATCTTGACTCATCAGCGAACAACAAGAAAGCAGATGTGTCAGCTGGTTAATGAACAGGAGAAACAGATGCGGCCCCAGAACTGAGCCTTGTGGAACAACATATTAGACATAAATCGTATCAGACTCTGAGCACTACCCTGCAATCGAAGATTCAGCAAGAAATTCCTGATCCACCCAAGGACAGAATCCCCAACTCCATAGTTTTCCAGCCTGTGAAGCAGAATGCGGCGCTCCAATCGATCGAAGGCACTGGAGAATTTGAGGTAAAGGATGTTGGTCCCTCTGCTTTTATCGGCCGCTTCCGTTCAGCTACTGTGGGCAATCACCAGGCTGGTTGTGCATGAACAGTGTTAGTGGAAATCGTGCTCCTCAGATGCTATGATGTAGTGACGTTCTAGATGGTCGCCTTATGCCTCTGTGATGAATGCCCTCATCACTACTGAGAGTATAGGGATAGGCGATGGTTTGCGGATTCCGGGCGATTGCCACTTCTGAAAATTAGCGTTAGTAGACCAGGTTTCTACATGGTAAGCACAGTTTGCTTATCCAAGAACGTTTGGAGGAAATAGGACAATGATCCAGTCAAGATTGTTACTGTTACCTTCAGTGCCCTTGGGTGAATGTCACCGAAACCGGGAGAACCGTAGGTGTGCAATGAGAGAGGTTTCGTCAACACAAATATGGCAGCAAAAGCGGTGTAAGTGCCGAAATAAGGGCTATGGATGTGGGTGTGTCACAGTGGCGGACATCTTGTTGGAAGATCAGGGCATACTGCATTCGTAGGGCGTTGGCTGCTTCTTCGGCACTATCTGGCACTCCGACAGTCGTGTGAAGCGGGGAGATACCGTACATTTCATTCCGAATGGTGGTAACAAGATTGGATAGGAGCTTTTTGTTTTTGGTAAATTTACAAGCAAAAGGTTGTTGGTGAGCCACTTTGTACTCACGGACAAGAATATTGCAATGGTTGCGCTGTGCAACGTAGTCGTTCTAGGTTTCGGAGCCAGGCCGGGTTTGTATGTGCACCAAGTTGTATTCCTTAGTGACGTGTTTGAGGGTTCTACTTCTGATGAACGACGATGGATTGGTAGAACGAACCCACTTAGTTTCTGAAGCATTTGCGATTAGATTGCTGAAGCATCCAACAAAATGGATCTAGATGTTGTCAGGAGAGTCACCTTTTAAAAATTTGAACGAAATGGTACTGACGAGATAATACGAAATGCTAGCATCTGTCAATATTCATCATCTTATTTCGTTGTTCAAACTACTGTTTTAAATCTTTCAAAAATTCCCAATCACGCATTGCAACCAGATCGGTCAGTGTGTTGTAGCACGTGGTGGTACGTGTTAGTTCTGTGTGTTCATCCGGATATTCAGCGTTATAAAGTATGATTCCAAAATCACCTAACCATAGTGGGGTATCTATATATGGTCCGTCGAACATAAATTCCTCATTTCTAAGTACGAGGTCTAGTACTAATAATTTGTTATCAGCTCCCTACCAGATAGGCAAGGTGATGTGATTTTACAGTGGATATTTTCCTGGATGCTGCCGTGGTGTTCAGGTTATACACGTTGAAATCGCCAGAAATAAGAACGATGCTGTAAGTTTGGAGTAAGCTTTTTATCATTGTTGATAATAGGCGGCAATCTATCTCTGGAGTGAGACGATGGCGAGTGACTGCCACAAAACAGTTGTCATTGTGCCTGATACTCAAATGGCACCATAGGGAATCGGTGACAAGCGTCTTCGGATCATATAATGGTTCGCATTGCATGACGTTACGATATTATAGGATAGAATCACCTCCCCTGTTGGGACGTGTCGGAACAAGGACATTCTCTGAATCGCGATCTCGGCATCCCTAACCGCTGAGTGCACCCAAGTCTTGGTTTTGGGCTGGCGCTTAGAGAACCACAGTCATTTCGAAGGAGACATGGTGCACCGTACTCAATTGATTGCTCTGCCCAAATGAAGGTTCTGTCCTTGTGACGTTCCAAAATCTCCCTCCAACGCATAGTATTTTAAAATTTGTTACTCGTGAGCAGCAGGATTTTAGATGTAATATTTAGAAGCGTTTCATCCAAGTAGTTCACAAGCTACG